TTTCAGATTGCTGCAATATCAATAAAATGCTGTTTGAGAAATTAGCAAGCCAGGCTTTCCAGTTAGTCCTGAACAAACTAATAAACCACAGATACATAGAAAAGGAGTCAATTTTTTTTTAAGAAACATGTTGATTTACCTTTACCAGCAAACGAACAGCATTGTGCTTCAATCCACAATCCACAGCTACAATTTTGATTGGATTTCCTTTGCCATATATTCTGACCTCCTTCACACATGTTAGGAAAAAGAAAAACATTATTGTATGCTTATTTGTTAACTAGAGATTTGCATCAGGTAACTCACACCAACTCAAACTCCTTTTAATTGTTGTTTAATTGATTATACTGGTTGTTTATGCCACCCAGAGTCACATTTGTGAGATGGGTAGCTATATAAATCAGATGAACAAATAAACATGTTAGGAGAGAGTCAACAGTAAGAGCCGAGGTGGCGCAGTGGTTAAATGCAGCACTGCAGGCTACTTCAGCTGACTGCAGTTCTGCAGTTCGGCTGTTCAAATCTCACCAGCTCAAGGTTGACTCGGCTTTCCATCCTTCCGAGGTGGGTAAAATGAGGACCCGGATTGTTGTTGGGGGCGATATGCTGATGCTGTAAACCGCTTAGAGAGGGCTGAAAGCCCTATGAAGCGGTATATAAGTCTAACTGCTATTGCTATTGCTAACACTAATTCAAAGCATTTGATGAATTTTGCTTTATCTGAATTACTCCTGAATTTATCTGAGTTTTTTTTTTATTTATTAAGAATCAGTACTCCCTGAAAATCATCATCTTCTGCACTGTAATGTATATTCTGATTCTCTTCTATTAAGAAGCTTACAGCATCCCACAGAGAATCTGCAGCAATCAAGCCTTAATTCAAATACTGGAAGAATGTAGACTTCCTCAGCCTGAGGAAGGGTGTCCCGTTGTATATCTTGGGATGTGGGCTCATGCTACCAACATATTGAGAGGTCCTTTATACAGACAGGCATAGATAGAGGTATAAATTAATCTCTTCGTTTAGTTGAGTTGGACTCTCATAAACAATACTATAATGACTTGCTATTGTTTTCTTCTGGAGTTCACATCTGTATGGCTCCAATTAGTATCATTCCTGTAGTCTGTTTGGCAGAAAAGGGTCAAGAGGGCGTGGAGGAGGAGAACCAGTAGTAGTGTTAGTAGTAGCAGAAGCTACTGTGAGAGGCAGAAGTGATTTCCCCAGCAACTTCTTCAATCTTTTTTTCATTTCATTACCTACTGATTCAGTTTGTGAAATGCCCCTAAGATCTATGTAATTACAGAGGAAGGTAGTACTGAGAATGTCATATTTTAATATTTGAAGCTGCTGTCTTCTGCTTTTAGCATGAATAATGGAAGTAGAATCCTACTGGTTGAGAATGAGGAGCCATCTACACCAGATTTGTCTTCACTGGAATGGCTATGCAGATCCACTTCATGAGTAGGACATGAAGGTTAGCAATAGCAGTTAGACTTATATACCGCTTCTTATTCTAGTTCAATATGCAAATAGCTGACATTTGAATTTTTTTTCCAATGCTGGCAAAAGGGTAATGCTTTCACCATAGACTTCTGGCCAGATTGTGATGTTGAGGCTTTGGCTCTCTGCCATCTATAGTGACCACCTCATTCTGTCAGATGGTAGGGTTAGATTTATAGCAATAGCAATAGCAGTTAGACTTATATACCACTTCATAGGGCTTTCAGCCCTCTCTAAGCGGTTTACAGAGTCAGCATCTTGCCCCCAACAATCCGGGTCCTCATTTTACCCACCTTGGAAGGATGGAAGGCTGAGTCCACCCTGAGCCGGTGAGATTTGAACAGCCGAACTGCAGAACTGCAGTCAGCTGAAATAAATGCAGTGCTGCATTTAACCACTGCGCCACCTCGGCTCTATAATGTCCTACTTTAAAACCTTTCCAGATATTCAAACATACCATTTTTAAATTTAATTTAAGTTACGTTGCCACTTCCTCTTTTCAGAGCAGGTTATGAGAATAAAATGCATAGTATATACAGTATTTAGCTATCTTAAAGTAAAATGCTGTGTATTCCTCCTTTATACTTTTTTCCTTAGCAACAAACCATCCACTTTTATGTTCAGTTAGAACTTTTCTTGGCTCCATCCAAAGGTGGTGTCTTTGCTACAGATAAGAGGGTATGTAATTCAAGCTATCTGGTGGGCACCAGGCTACAGAAGAGCCATCTATCTCTTTTACACATCTATGGCCATCGTTTCATTACATCTTATATAGGAGACCTTCGTGTAAATTATGTAATTTGCAAAGCACACCCACACACACACAAATCTCTTTGAAAATCTTTTCTGAATCTACTGCCCAATGTTAATTTCACTGAGTGGCTGTCTTCTAGTGTTAGGAGAAAAGTAAAAAAGGAATTCATTCTATCCTATTCTATGTTTTCGTTCATGTTTTAATCATCTTCTAGTCATGATCAATGTGGTCATATAAATAGAATTCTGCCCTTTCAGGAACTTTGTGCAAAATTATCATCATATGCTCAATGTTCATCCTTACTGCCCCCACATTGATATAGATCAGTGGTAGTCAACCTGGTCCCTACCACCCACTAGTGGGCGTTCCAGCTTTCATGGTGGGCAGTAGGGGTTTGATGTAACTCTGCTTTATAAATTTTATAAAGTCAAGTTACTTCCCTACTTTATAAATCACCATTACTGTGGAACCGGTGGGCGGTTAGAAAATTTTACTTCTAACAGAGATACAAAAGTGGGCGGTAGGTATAAAAAGGTTGNCCTGTAATTTCTTGCGCCCATTTCCAAATTTTATGTCCAATATTTTTGTGTTACGGGGGGGGGGGGGTGTCCTTACCTTGATGCCATCAGACTCCAAATATCTCCTGAGGCCAATTTCATCTAAAGCAGCTGTGTCCGGGACACCGCCATTTCCTACGATGGGATTGACCATGGTGAGGATCTGCCCATGATAGCTGGGATCAGTCAGACTTTCGGTGTATCTGGATTTAGCACAATAGGAAATTATTTTTCTAGATTAAAAACCCACACAAAATTAATACTCCCTGCCAGATCAGCAGGCTGGAAGACGGAATATAAGAAACCAGGTTAACCGTTTTGTTGAACTGTTGATTTGGCTGGAGATATTAACACTTTCTAATCGGAGGGGAGAAGTTAAATATTGCCATTTTTGCTATTAATTACGATAAATTGACCGACGAAAGAAGTGGTAGTCAATTAATTGTCTGTAAACAATATGCACCTAAAGATTTGAAAGGGAAAAATTCCCATTCAGTCTGATACAACATTTGTGCAGGTGATAGCTACTAAGAAATGTTCCCCTCCAACTCATGAACCTCATTTTTATATGGATATATATCACAGTACTCAAAAATGAAGTATTCTTAGTGTTCTTTGTAAAGGCACCCGCATTCTTCAGGATGATTTACACAGGCTAAATAGAATTTATTTCATCGTTATTTAAATTATATATAATTGAAGTCCCATATTATTTCTCAAATATCAGCAAATTGCAAGAAGCGGTGGTTTTTTTTAACGTAGACTTCCCTGTGAAAAGATGGATTGTTGCACACAGGAAAACACTTTAACTAATCCAGAGTGGTAGTGAGCTGATATCAACAATTAAATGTATTAACCAATTAAAGAGAAATGATGTGTCAGATTAAACAATTGGTACGAAATATGTCAGACTATGATTTTGTAATTCTTGATATGCAGATTTTGCCAATGACTAAAACAAATTAGGTCCTTAGTTTTAATGAATGATTTTTGTAACCCTGGAGGCTTATAATAAAGTAATACCGTCGAAGTTAGTTGGGCAGTTTTGAAGTATATAAATTATTACTGCAGACCTGACCTCCTGTTAAGTGTGAATGCTTTTTTTAAAAATTAATTATAGCCCCTGGGCCAAAAGTTATTGTAATAAAGGTATGGATACACAATTGCATTTCTACTTTCAGTCACTTTGCTATATTTCAGAAAAGTATTTCAGTAAAGCAAAAATCATTACAGAATATAATATACCTATCAATGCTTTTTTGTATCTCCCTGCATTGATATGCTGTGAAATCCAGTATAAAAAAAGATCTCTGTATGCAGGGAAGATCGGCCTTTTTGCTAGTGCTGGCCCAAAGGATTGGTTAAATATTTTCTGAATATTGATAATCTGAGGAGAGCAAGGAAACACGGTGCCTTAAAGTATCACAACTTGTTCCTAAACTTGTGGCTTTTATTGGCAAAATACTAGTGGGCAGATTATCAGTCACAGTTTACATATTCCTTAATAACTGAGGCCAGTTCTGTAGTTATTTAGAATTATTTGAAATATGTTAGTTTTGGCTCACATCCAACAAGGAAATCTCACAAGGAGTCTCTCTGAATCGACTAATAGATCAGGCATATCTATTTGAATAAATGTGGTTTTATAATTTTAGTTTAACCACATACCTCTCTATACTCCGGTTTCTATGTTCTTCGTAATGAAGATTGCTCTAGCCTTGGTATTAATACCCTGTAATGTTCAGCAACATTACATTAATCCTATGAGACCTCAATACAGGTAGTCCTCAATTTATAATCTCAATTTGGATCCAAATTTCCATTACTAAGTTGCAAAGTGAGTGATGTTCAATTTTATAGCCTTTTTTGTCATTGTCAAGTGTTAACAAGTGCAGTTGTTAAGTGCTTGTTGGAAGCTGGCTGGGAAGATCACAAATGGCCCCAGGATGTTGCAAGCATCATAAATACAACCCAGTTGCGAAGGACCCAAATTTTGGTCATGTGGCTGTGGGGATGCTGCAATGGACATAAGTGACCTGGGTACTTGAGAGACCGCCTGCTGCCAATTACCTCCAACAGACCGATTAGATCCCACAGAGTAGGCCTCCTCCGAATNCTAACAGAGATACAAAAGTGGGCGGTAGGTATAAAAAGGTTGGCTACCCCTGATAGAGATCAATTGACAAGTTATTGGTAGTTCTTAAGGCTGCCTATATTTTATTTCTGCTCCTTCAATCCGCAAATCAGCATTCCTCATCGTCATCAAATCCATTGGGTTTAAGACAACTGTGATTTTAAATGCAAAGTCCATGTCTGATCTACTGCTGAGCGAACTATTTTTATCTGTTTAATAAGCCCCTTTTAATCGGGCTCTTTTGGCACACCGATATTTCACAGCTGGAAGGCTTCATGAAAAGATGATAATCTCTTAACAGAATCATTTCACAAGTGAATTACCACTATTCTGGAGGAAAATAGAAGCTTCTCAGAGGAAAAGAAAGAAACAGACCTAAAGAGAACGTGTGAACTACTAAAGCAGAAGTCCTCTCTGCAATTTAAAATTTTGGACTCATCCAGACGTCTAGTGCACCATACAATAGAGAGTTCCTCATTCCCTTCAGTCTCCAACATATCTGGGAATGCCAATGGCTGCACGCCAGATTGTATGATTCCTAGACAACAACTACAGACCCAAATCTTTATAGTTCCTATTATGAAGAAAGAAGAGAAATCTTATTGTGACAGTTCTTACATAATATACATTTACATCTTTGGCTGAAATCTCTAGTTCCTGGATATGCAGGAAATGACACAAGTGGACTTCGACCAGTAATACCATGAACTTCCAAGAGATATTATAAGTTCAAGAAGATACCACACAGCATTCCTTTTTTTCAAATGTTACTTAGCAAGGGACAACTAGCACCTGATACAAAAGAACAGAAAGCAGTAAGGTTTTATTACTCCTGATCTGTTCACACAGTTTGACATAAAACTTTTAAACTTCATATATGGGAAACCAGATTAAAAGGGGGGAAAAAGACACAAGCCTCTATCACGTCTAACCTGACCTTCATTCATACTCTCTGGAAACAACCTCAGCCCTTTGAAATGTCAAGGAAATTATTAAATTTACTCTAGCCCCTAGACTCTGAAAAAATGCAGAAAAAGAAATAAGGAAAATTAAATAATTTGTTGCAGTTTCAATATATTCTGACAAGAGCTGCCTATTGCTTTATTAAAAATATTATCAGATTCTTCTAACCTATTATTGATAATAAAAATTCTTAAATGTTATCATAAATTGATTTATATGAAAGCCATTTCTTGATAGTGGAAGTGCCGGGCTGGGCAGCCCTTATAATTCTAAATTATAAATGTAATATAGTATAATATAATATAATAAATAAGACCATTGTGTGCTATAATTGAATAGCTTGATTAATTGTCAGCTTTATTTTCGATGCTACTTTATAACTCTATAAAATAAAGTTGTAAAGATAATGGGATCACGGGAGTTGTGTTCATCCCACATCTACACCTGCTGGTTTCAGTGTCTTTTTATCACTCATTCTTTGTACTAGCATAGATTATCAACATCATCCACTTCTGGTGATAATTAATTCTGTGAAATAGTTAAAAATGGAACAAATTTTTAGATCTCAAGGAGTCTTCTTCTTATTTTATACCCTTTACGTATTTTTAAAAAGATGGCAAATAGAATATTCATTTAGCTGGTAAAAGAAATCAGTTCTACATACAATTGTGAAAATAATCCAGCCAGCTATTTGGAGAAACATTAAATTCATTCCCTCAGATGTATATCCTACTGGGTGAACTGGGCCTCTTTTCTGTCCAATATTCTTATACCTTCACTCATTCCAACATGCTCATCTCTGGGTGCAGAGGTGGGTTCCTACCAGTTCGCACTTATTTGGTAGAACCGGTTCATCAAATCTACCAAACCGGTTAGAAGAGGTTCCACCAGTGGACCCGGAAAGCAGGCCACACCTACAGAAGAGGTTCCAAACTTTTTTGAAACCCACCACTGGTCCTTGGATATGATTATTCTACACTATCACGCTCCTATTTATAAAACTGAGTGCCTCTGTGAAAGGCAAGGATGACTACTGCGTTTGTGGTGCAATCAGAACATTGCGTGTGTTGAAGTTGTTTTAACGCAAACCAAAAATGCCTTTTAAAAAAACAAGTTTACATCCTATTCTTATGCATGCCAGTGCTGTGTGTGAGGTAATTTAAGGTGGTTCTGACAAGTGTCGTCGGCATCTTCATATTCGGTCACATGGGCGGCAAGCCACTCCCATCCGGTCACATGGGTGGCAAGCCACTCCCACAAAGGAGGCCACACCCACAGAGTAGGTTCAAACAATTTTTGAAACCCACCACTGTCTGGGTGCAATAGCCTTAAGGTTAAAAACCAATATGAGGAGATGTCAAGTTATTCAGGAGAAAAAGGAGAAAAAGATTTAGTTCTAAATTTATATGAACTGGCACATTTCAGGTTCAATATAAATCTATAACTGAAGACTCGGGTTGAATGTTCTTGAATGGATTTTTTTATCAGTAGTACCAAAGTCAGGCTTCTTGAAGATCATGATCAGGCCTGCAGTCATATTCCTTTTAGGATCTTTGGCCTGCCACACTCTCTATTATTTTACTATGCTGTTTCGTTAGTGGGGTAATTGGGAGGGGGAATAGTAAGCAATAGCAATAGCAATAGCAGTAGACTTATATACCGCTTCATAGGCCTTTCAGGCCTCTCTAAGCGGTTTACAGAGAGTCAGCATATTGCCCCCAACAATCTGGGTCCTCATTTTACCCACCTCGGAAGGATGGAAGGCTGAGTCAACCCTGAGCCGGTGAGATTTGAACCGCTGACCTGCTGATCTAGCAGTAGCCTGCAGTGCTGCTTTTAACCACTGCGCCACCTTGGCTATAAGGAGTAGAATGTGTTGTTGTCAAAATAAAACATTCCTTTCTAGAAGCCCAAGGTCATCCTTTGTCTCTACACCTCTGCACCTGATCGGAACTAGATGGGTGGAAATGCCAGCGTGGCAGTGGAGGATTGGACCATGTGATGGACTTCTGGGTGTGGGGACAAGATCATGAACTTTCAACTGGTTGGAAAACCCAGGAAGCTTTCAGATTCGGGTTTTCCACAGATGTGCCAACATGTCTCTCTTAATAAATTGGAATTTTGAGGAAAGCTTTGCCTTGAACTCTGATTTAATTTTGGATGATATTTTGAATGTTGACAATCATGGGAACTAAACCAACTAAATCTCACAAATGACATATTTGCAGAAATGTCAAAGAAGCCATCTTGCTTAGAAAATATATAATTAATATGCTACTTCTATTTCATACAACTGTGTTTGCTTCACTTTGAAAAATTAGAATTCTATGTCACAAACATTTACACTGATTCTATAGATCTGCATATTTATTTTTCAGAACAGTTGGGGGCTACTTTAATTTCTGTCATGATAATTCAAAATGTATCACACAGTTACAGCTTACTGTTCACATATGAAGGATTTTGCTGCATGGAACATACTGAATTGAAAGGAAAATTAATGAGAACAGGATTTGTTCTAATTCAGGAAAATTGAAAAATTACCAATTTAAGATTGGAGCTCTAATTAATTTAAGCTGATTTCATTGGGAAATTAATAAGCTTTTATTCTGGAAAAAAATCAGCAATTATTTCAGACTTTGGATCTATACCTATAAATTTGTATTGTGCCATTCTTTAAAGTCTGTAAAATGTTTCTCTTCTTATGCAGGACAGACCTTGGCAATAAGCCTCCCTTTTGTCATGTTGTCTTTTTCTAAGCAAACATAATGGGGAATAGTCCACACAAAATTGCAATTAGTAGTAGCAGTCCTAGGACAAGGCAAACCTGTATATAAATTATTGTAATAAATAAACAAACAAAATCGTGTTGGTTTTTCTAGTGATTTTTGAAGGTTTCGTTAAGTCCATACTTCTATGCAAACATAATTAATATTCGTAGTTCCAAAACTAATATAACAACATTATCTTTCAGTTTTTGACATGTTTCATTGCTGCAAAATCCACACAGGATTGTTTATTTATTAAATATTTCAGCATGTATAAGTTCCTTTCCCATGCTAGATCAGTCTTCTAAGCAGGTGCATGAATAGATATAACTAAGTCATATCCTCGCTAAATTCATGCGTAAAGCTCCTATTTTCCTTGATTGCTTCGTTGGTTGTTTATTTATATATTTCCGTTCAAATGGCAGTCCACACAAAACCATGACTCTGGGTGACTAATAATTAAAAATTCTATAAACAATAACTTAACAATAAACACATAATTGGCAGCTGACATAAAACAAGTAAAATCATCAGATCAGCATCAACATAACCATTTCATAACCGCCTCCTGCCACATACCTCCCAAAGACCAACTAGATCTCACAGGTTGGGCCTCCTCTGGGTGCCGTCGACCGGACAATGCCAGCTGGCGGCTCCCCAGGGGAAGGCCTTCTCTGTGGCTGCGCCGGCCCTGTCGAATGACCTACCCGTAGAGATCTGGACCCTTACCACTCTCCCGGCCTTCCATAAAGCCACCAAGACCTGGCTGTTCCGGCAGGCCTGGGCTGTTGATTGATATCCAGCCCCACCTACACTGAATGGATGATGTGCAATTTTAATAATGTACCTTTATTTTTAAATTTTTAAATGTTTTTATCTGTCTGTAAGCCGCCCAGAGTCCCTAGGGAGTGGGCGGCATACAAATTTTATTAAATTGGAAATTGGAATTGGAATTCATAACCATAAACTACTTAGCTTATGTTAAACAGCTACTATAGAAACATCTGGAAGACCCTTATAAGGGCAACGAAGATGTCAATTGATCCACTTGAATTTCCTTTTGCCCTATAAATTCTCTCATTTACTTAGTCTTGCATTGTCTTCAATGATTGAACAATTCAAAGGAGTCTAGAGTAATAGTTTTCAGAAGTGAAGGTTTTAATAAAGTTTCGTTTTATTTTTAAAAACAACAGACTATTTTTGAAAGTAAGATTTGGCTCTTCTCACTGTAACAAATGTGACCAAATGGAAATTGGGGTTAATTTAATCTTTCTCTCTAACTTGGAAATAATGTCATACGTGTGCTTGTATGGATGATTGCCAAGTGCATTTTTGTAGAGACTTGGTGAAATAAACCATTCTGGGTTTGTAGTATACAAAAACATGGATACGGCATTCAGTAAGACATCCAATTTGATGCAGGACGTGAATAAAACCTATCATATCTCTTTTCAAACAAAACAGTGAATAAATAAAATAGAGAATGGTCCATCATAACAAAGACAAAAGCCTCTGATTCAAAAGATTTACCACCACCACCCCAGCAGTTTTATAATTGTGTAGTAATAGCAGAAAAAGTTCCTCGTGTCATCTTTCCTTCATAGACAAGTTATCAAGAAACTTAAAGAAATTCTCCCCCACTTCTAGGATGAAGATAATTCATTTCAGAGGAAACAAAGATCATAAACCAATGATGAGAACCTGTGGCCTAGCCTTCTTTCCAAATTAAACTTGTTCTAATCACACAATCATGAGGCCCCATGATGGTGCTTGGCTCATCCCAAACAATATAACACAGCTTTCGAAATTCTCATCATCATGATAATCAAAAGTAGGACAACAGAAGGAACTGCTGTACTTCTACAATGTCTCGACTGAGAATGGAATATTTACCTTTGTTGATACTTCAGCAATTAAGTTTTTCTTGTTTGGATCCGAAAATTCCACAGGCTGACCCTCAAATTCAATCTTTCCAAGAATAGTTCCCTGTTCAATTAAAAATATATATATTGTTATCAGATACCTGAGGACAAAGGACATTTTCATACCACTATCTTTCTACTTCCCAAACTTCCAAAGCAATTCTGCGGTGACTCTGCATTGCAAAGAAAATATCACCTTTGTCCCAGCCTCACATAAATCACAGCAAAGCCAGAAAAACAAATTCTCAAAATCATTCAATATAAAGTAATTGCAATAGTCCAAAGCTGGT